GGCCATGGCGGTCACCGCGTTGTCCAGGCAGGGCACCTGCCCGCTGCGGATGGTGCCCACGTAGCTCTGCACTAAGGAGCCGAACCCTGGGCAAGGGAAGGGGAAGGGGTAAGAGCTGGGGGGAGGGGACTGTACATTTATACAGCACCTGGCACCCCGGGGACTCCGCTGGGGAGCGTATCCCAGATTCTCCTCCGCGCTGACCCCGGGGGAACAGAGATTATTCTGGTCGCAGACCCCAGTCCAACGGGGCTCATCTGGGATTCGAACCGCAAGAGGCTCAGAACAAGCATCCTCGGAGCAGAGCCAGGGCTCCGTAGCCGGGCCCGGAACGAGCTCCTCTCCGCAGCATGTCAGCCCGGGGCGAGGGGCACCCGTCACGCCCACCCGCCGGCGGATTACGCCAGCACCGTCTCCGCAGGGCTCTGCAGAGCTGGGACCGGGCCGGGGCCGTTTAACCGGCAGCTTGCCAAGGCGGCTGAGTGTCGGCATCTGGCCGAATCTGAAGCCGAGCGGCTCAAGGATCCCTGAATGCAGGAGAGGCCCCAGTTTCCATCCCTGCTACAGGCCAGGTGCGACCCAGGGCAGAGTGTGTTACCGGTGCCCTCCCATGCCCATCCCCAGGGGATCCGAGCGGTCACAGCCCCGCTAGGGGACCCTCGTCTCGCTAGCTCCAGGGCTAACAGCTTCTGCTTGGGAGGGTTCTGCTTTCACCCCTGGTGTTGGGCAAGAAGGAGGCCACCAGACAGGACAAAGGGAGAGGGACCAAGGACCCAGGGGATCTCCCAGTGTCACAGACGGTTCGATTCTCCAACACCTGCTAAATGCTCTCTGAAAATAGCCCCCCACACGCAGGGGGAATTCCTCCCTCCTCGGGGCTGGGTTTCTCTCGGCCAAAGAGGGCAGATCGGCCGGCAAAGCCATCGGCCTGCGTCTCCACAGAGCAGCCGCGGGGCTGACGTACTTCGCCCATTGACCGGAATCCCTCCTTTGACCGTCTTGACGTGGGAGCACTGGAAGACGTAATCACAGAACCGGCGGGTCTGGTCCAGGAACTGCGGGTCCAGGGCACTGGTGGGTAGCAAGTCCAGCTGGCCCATCTCCTGCCGCGATGTCGGCTGGACAAACACGAAGCACTTGCGGGTGGGGAAGAAGTTGCGGATGCACTGACGCGGCAGGTTGTATTCCATCACCTTCTTGTTGTTGCCTGGAGAGCCAAGGAGAAGCAGGAGGTTACACCCAGCACTGCGCTAATAACGGAGTTTGGGGTCGTTGGCAGCTTGCAAATGTCAGGGGGAAATTTCAGGCTTAGGTCAGGTGGAAAATGAGAAGTTTTGGCAAATGAAAAGCTGAAAAAAAACCTACTTTGGGGCCAAAGGAAACGTGGTGTTTTCATCCCGGCCTTTTTTAAACACGTTTGGAGTTGGGACGTGGAATAAAATCAAATGGAGATTTTGGAACCAAACGTTGTTTAAAACCAAAAGAAACAAAATCCAATTTTTTGGATTTTTTTATTATTTATTTTCCCCCCAACAGAACAAGTCAACAACCCCAACCAGAACCTGCGAAATGGCGCCTTACTCTGCAGGTTTCACCAAACCCAAACGGTCGGCGGTGACTACACACCTCTCCCACCCGCTGCGCGGGAGCTTCGGGGGTCGGGGGCGCCCGGCGCTCGGGAGACGCGGAGACCTGCGCGTTATCCAGCGGTATGGCAGAGCTCGGCGGTAGGCAACATAGAGTTCGGGTTTGGGTTTGCGTGGGTAGGATATGTCGAGGAGGCTTTCTGGGGGTAGGCCATGTGGAGTTAGGGTTAAGGTTCCTATGGGTTATGCCACTTAGACTCAGAACGAGGGTTCCTATGAATGGGGCTCCCTTCCCTAGGGTTAGGGTTTGTATGGGTTATGCCTCTTAGGGTTAGGGTTCCTACGGGTAGGGCTCCCTGCCCGACACTTACGGTTCCTATGGGTACGGATTCCTGCCCAAGGGTTACGGTTCCTATGGGTTATGCCACTGAGAGTTCGGGTTAGGTTTCATTTGGACCTGGCCAAGGAACGTTCACAGATGCGAGGGCCGAGAAGGGCCGTTCTGACCACGTTGCCCTATCGTCTCCCCTGGCGCCCCCACATCTGTCTATCTCCACCGCGTGTCTCTTACACCGTCGGCTCCTTGGAGCAGGGCCTGTATCTTTGTTCTGTTTGTGCAGCGCACTGGGTTCCTGGGCCTCGGTGACAGGAGCCGGGACGCCGGGGTAGATGGGCCCATGGGCCTGATCTCGGGGGCAGGGAGGAGGCAGGATACCAGGGGTGATGGGCCCCTCCTGCACACAGCGGACCCCAGCTCACCTTTCCTCAGGGCCAGCGCGTGCTCCAGGTACTGATCCTCCGTCACCAGCTGCCCCTCGATCCTCAGCTCCAGCGTGAAATCCCGCACGGCCCAGACGAAGCTGGGGAAGAAGCGGACGAACTCCGTGTCCTCCTCCGTGTCGTCCCCTCCCTGCGCCTTCACCTTGATGTGCTCTGTCAGCTCCGACACGAAGCTGGGCCGAGGGCTGAGGACTCAAACTGAGGCCAGGCCTGGGTGCTACCACCCAGCGTGGGACTGAATAGGGGGGATCCCAGCCCCACATCCCCCAGGGACCACCCCCCAGGACCCCAGCCCCATGCTCCCCAGGGGCCACCCCCCAGGCAAGGATACTGCAGCTGCTCCATGGCGTACTGGTCGATGGTCCCTTTGCTGTTGTAGACCAGGGTGCTGCTGAGCAGCACGGCCAGCGCGAAGATCCACGCGTCGTTCTTGGTGTCGCCCTGCGCAGGAAGGAGAAGGCTGGTGGGGTTGAGTTTTGGGGCCCTAGCGGCCAGCGGGGCTGGAGAGACGAGCCCCCTCCCAGCGACGCCATGACGAGGGACAGCCAGCCCGGGAGACGTGGGCCTTTGCCTGGGTTTGCACCCTTGGCGCCGGGATTTCTGGGGGTGCTGCTGAATGCACAATCCCTGCGAGAGCTGCCACACGGCTGCCGCCCGACCAGCCCAAACTCCAGGCGGCCCCCCCAGAGCTGAGCCCCGAGTCCTCCAGCTCCACCGCTTCTGCTGTCAGTTCCCGGGCCGGCCTCCCTCCCTCCTGAGCTGGGCTGACCTGTGCCGAGTGGGGAAAGCCCCCGACACATTCAACCGGCAACCGGCCAGGCCGTGCGAAAACCGGCCAGGTGGCAGCTCTACCGCCCGCTCAGTGGCTCCTACCCTGGATCGCTCTGGAGAAAGCTCCCGCAGACGGCGCTAACCTTCCCCGGGGCCTCTCTGGTCTAGGGTTACCATACGTCCGTATTTTCCCGGACATGTCCGGCTTTTTGGTTCTTAAATCGCCGTCCAGGAGGAATTTTTAAATATCTAAAAACGTCCGGGATTTTGCCATCTCTTGAGAGACTGCCCGCTTTCCCCCCAGCTCCCAGTCCTTGCACCGCGAAACAGCTGTTTCACGCTGCTGGGAGGGAGGGGGGCGGGGGGGAATGCGGCACGCTCGGGGGAGGAGGCGGGGCCGGGGCGGGGATTTGGGGAAGGGGTCCAATGGGGCAGGGAAGGGGCGGAGTTGGGGCAGGGTCGGGGGGCCCGTGGAGTGTCCTCATTTTTGAAGGTTCAAATATGGTAACCCTACTCTGGTCCTGATGCCCTGCAGAGCCTGGGAACCTCCCCCGTGGAACTGGACCTGTTTGCCCAAGATGCCCTGGAGATCCCACATCACTGCAGCCAGGCGCCCAAGGTTTCGTTTAGTTTCCTTGCCCTGCCAGCAGTTGAGGGCAGCTCCCTCCTGGGCGTGAATTGGGCTGCATGTGCCACGGAGCCGGGCAGCCGTCTGGGGAGGGGGCAGATCTGGAGTCTCGCTTGCAGCCAGGGACTGGGGGGAGCCACAACTGGGGAGCTGGTCAGCCTGGGGACCAGGGCAGCAGACAGAGGCCAGGGAGCGGGAAAGACGAGACCCTGACCCCACCTAGAAGCTCCTGCGTTCCCTGCCACGCACGGGGGGGGGAAGGGAGAGGGGGAGGGGGCAGTTCTGAGCCTGGCGGGGGAGCTGGGGGAAAACGACGCCATTTCTCAGAAAGTTACAATAATTGATCCAAATAACCAGCCGCCAGCATGACA